ATCCGGAAGTGTGTAGCCTTGCTAACGACCGCTTTTCTACCGATCTGAGGTTCGGCACTCACCACAACACAAAAACTGTCCAGTTTCACCACTTTCCTCAGTAAATTCGTCCTTTGGACGCCTTTCCACACCTGGTACGCAGGCCGTATTTTTGCACGGAGCGGACGCCGCCATCTTGGGTCTTAAATAAGCCGTGAGCGATACAACCACAAAGCCTGTGGTGGGCGTTACAGCCAAATACGCCCCGCGCGCAACCGCTGTGCACTACTCAAAAGGCTCCGCCGGCAACGTGACCCAGCAGCCCTGCGGCCCCTGCCCCAGTTTTCCTGACTGCTTGCACTTCCTCTCGCAGCCTTTATCTCCGTTGAAATTCCTTCGTTCTTCCGTATTTTCTTTTCCCTTCGTTTCTTTTAACAACCCCAATATATTTTCACCTTCGCCCTGAGTCCTTTCTTCTTTCCACATTTCTAGCTATCTCTTGTTCTCAACTTTCATTTACCTCAAAGGGTGCGGCATCTTATAACAAACCTGCGTTTCTGTTATTTCACCAAAGTATTTCAACATTATAAGGTAAGCTGAGGACTGATTTTCTCTGTTTTATAGATGAGAAAAGTCTACTACTGAAACTAAGGTCCAGAGAAATGAAGCAATTTCCCAAAAACTGCAACAGCTAGCGTTGGAGTAAACAAGAACCTAATGTGCTCACCTCGACAGCACATACACTAAAATTGGGACGATACAGAGAAGATTAGCGTGGCCCCGCTCAAGGATGACACGCAAATTCGTGAAGCGGTCCATATTTTTTTTGAGAAAAACAAACAAACCAAGAACCTAATTATTTTCACTTCCGTCTACTTCAACCAACTAATTAAAAAGATGGGAAAACTGAAGACAAAAATAGGGAAGGTTTGAGCCTAACTTCATACTGTAAGTCAATGACAAAAATTTATTCCAAACAAGCTGCTTCCTTTTTTGATTCTGCAATAGAAAGCGTTTTTGTAAAGGTGTTAGAATATTGTTCTCCAGCATAAAATCCCTTCCTGTTCTTTTAGACTCAGTTCAAGTCCTGACTCTTCTAAGAACCATCTATATTTATCAAAACGTTTATCTTTTTTGGTCTCTCTCCATGAGGGAAATACACTATCTGGATGCCAGCCCCAAAAACATTTTTTTTAAAAAAGAAGAAGAACCATGGTTAGTGTGGCTCAGTTGGTTGAGCATTGTCCTGTGCATGGAAGGGTTGCTGATTCAATTAGGGGTCAGGGCACATACCCAGGTTTTGGGGATGTGTGCTGGAGGCAACCGATAGATTTTTTTTCCTCTCTCTCTCTTTCTCTCCCTGTCTTCCTCTCTCTAAAATCAGTAAAAACATATTTTTTTGAAAAGGCTGAAATTTGTTTGTAAAGTATTATGTATAAATGGTATAAAAAGTTAATGAGGGGAAGTTTGTGCTGCATAGCTAAGGAAAAGACAGTTGAGAGTTTCTAATCGCTTTCGAAAAAAATACAGTTTCTCTCTACATTCTAAAGTTATCTCTAACTTTCTACAAGAACCCAGCATAAAATGCCTCTTATGCTATTCATTTACATCATTACTTTTTCTTTATTTTTCCATTTTCATCCTCAAATAGAATGTAATGATAGAGAATTGTGTAGACATCTGGGCTTTCATGTATGGCCATTCTTGTGTAAAACACTACATGGAACCCACCTGTTTTATCAGTAATGTGTGTAGTAAAATGAAGAAGTCTTAGCTTAAATTGTGTAATTTCCTAGCATTTAGACTTGTCTGTGCACATCTTGGAAATTGGTAGGGCAGACACCAGAAGTCTACTGAGAACTTTTGAGGAAGAACTCATCCTTAAAGAGGAGGTATTCAGGCAGACAGCCTAGCAGGGGTGGGCAAACTTTTTGACTCGAGGGCCACAATGGGTTCTTAAACTGGACCGGAGGGCCGGAACAAAAGCATGGATGGAGTGTTTGTGTGAACTAATATAAATTCAAAGTAAACATCATTACATAAAAGGGTACGGTCTTTTTTTTTTTTTAGTTTTTTTCATTTCAAACAAGCGGGATCCGGCCCGCGGGCCGTAGTTTGCCCACGGCTGGTCTAGGGTAAATGAAGGATCCGTTCCGAGTACTGCAGGGGATCTGTGGCTTCAAACATCTTTTCCCATCCAGTAGCATATCTCTTGGTTGAATGACAAAATGTATTTACTTTGATCTAGGCACATAACAACTCTGCAGTAATTTAATGATAAGTAGAAAAGGTGGGGGAAAATTAGTGAACCCCATTGTAGTATTATTTCTGGTTACTCTCAGGACTTTTTCTGGAACAAATGACCATTTGGATTTTAAGGAAATAATATAAATAAGTGACTGGCAGGAAGCAATAGTAGAACAATAGGTGTGTGAAGCTCCTAGTCAATTTCAGGGGACAAGAAACCTAATGCATTGGTTTTATTTAGTGATGTTTCAAATTTTAAAATGCTAGATCCAGAGATATAAGTTTAGAAAAGCTCTCTATATTAATTTACAGTCAAGGTGAAAAAGTTATATCCCTGCCTCTACCCATTCACATTTTCCCCAGTTTGCCTGCTTTCATTCCAACCAAGAAAAATGCCTGCAGAAACACCAGAGACAGAGGTTGGTGGCCAGGCTAAAATATTTGCTCCTCAAAGCTGATCCTGTTGGCTTCCTGGACTACTGGTCCAGTCAGTACTTATTTCATTCTCTATGATAGCCCAGTTTTCCTCATTCATAAGTAATTGTTCCAAAAATAAGAAAACTGTCTCCTGTCAGCCTACCAACTGAAGGGTCCTGGGTTCGATTCCAGTCAAGGGCATATGCCTGGGTTGCAGGCTCGATCCCTAGTAGGGGGTGTGCAGGAGACAGCCAATCAATGATTCTCTCTCATCATTAATGTTTCTATCTCTGCCTCTCCCTTCCTCTCTGAAATCAATAAAAATATATTTTTTAAAATAATGACAGAAAACTTCCCTACCTGGTGAAAAAAAAATAGACTTACAAATCCAGGAAGGGCAGAGAGTCACAAACGAAATGAACCCAAAGAGGCCCACACCAAGACACATCGTAATTAAAATGACAAAGGTTAAAGACAAAGAGAGAATCTTTTTTTTTTTTAATCCTCACCGGAGGACATTTTTTCCCATTCATTTTTAGAGTGGAAGGGAGGGGGAGAGACTGAGAGAAACATCATTGTGAGAGAAACACATCCATTGGTTGCCTCCCTCACACACCCTACCAGGGCTGGGGAATCAAGCCTGCAACCAAGTTATGTGCCATTGATCAGAATCAAACCTGGGACCCTTCTGTCCGTGAGCCGGAACTCCAACCACTGAGCCAAACTGGCTAGGGCTTTTTAAAAAATATGTTTTTATTGATTTTTAGAGAGAGGGAGAGGGACAGAGATAAAAACACTGATGATAAACATCATAAATCAGCTGCCTCCTGAACACCCCCTACTGGGGGGAGGGATCAAGCACACAAGCCCACAACCCAGGCATGTGCCCCCAATGGGAATCAAACCGGTGACCACTTGGTTCCTGGGTCAACACTCAACCACTGAGCCACACCAGCCGGGCCCAAAGAGAGAATCTTAAAAACAATAGGAGAAAAGCAGTTAGATACCTACAAGGGAGCACCCATATGACTGTCAGCTGATTTCTCAACAGAAACTTTGCAGACCAGAAAAGAGTGGCAAAAAATATTCAAGGTGATGAATAGCAAGGACCTACGACCAAGGTTACTCTGCCCAGGAAAGCTGTCATTTAGAATTGAAGGTCAGATAAAGAGCTTCACAGGCAAGTAAAAGCTAAAGGAGTTCATCACCACCAAACCAGTATTACAGGAAATGTTGAAGGGTATTCTTCAAGAAGATGAAGAAGAAGAAAAAAAAGATTAAAAATATGAATAATAAAATGGCAATAAATACATGTCTATCAACAATTGAATCTAAAAATCAAAATAAACAAGCAAGGAATCTAATGAACAAAGTAAACTGATGAATAAAATAGAACCAGAGGTATGGAAACATGGAACAGACTGAAGAATCTCAGAGGGAAGGGGGTGAGGGATGGGAAGAAATGAACCAAAGAACTTATATGCATTTATGCATTACCTATAACACAGACAATAGGGTGGTGAAGGCCTGGGG